CTTTGTCGATAGGCGTCTTCTATGTTGATGTGATTGACCATCTCTTCCCAAGAGTAATCCTTGGACTCATGTTTCACTTTGTTTTGAAACTCTCCCAGGATTCTGGCAGCTTCTCAAGTAAGGCATAGGTTTGTAGCATTTCACTTACAGGAAAAAGTTCAGCTTCAAGGTCGGACACCAGATTCTCATATTCGTGCACTTGCTCGATAACTGGTTTTGTATCCACCATGCGATAGTTGAGCCACCGCCCAACCGTGTACTTCCTCCGACCAGCATCATCAGCGCCATACTTCCTTTTGAGCATGTCCCAGATCTCCTTTGCAGATTTGTATTTAGCATAGATGTCTAACAGGTTGTCAGACATGTGATGCAGTAGAAGACCGCGAACAGTTTTGTTGTCCCGCTCAAACTTAGCCCGGATGTCTTGAGACTTGTCAGTTGTGACAGGTTTAGGTGTTACAGACGCAGGGGTTGTAGAGGAGCCGTCCTCTGGTTGAGGATTAGTAGATTCAGCAGTTTTCGCTTCAGCAGGTTCAGGAACATATGTGAGAACGTATTCCAGTTCAGCAAATTCGATGTGTATGAGCATCTTGACTGCCCAACGGCGATAGTTTAGGCCGTCAAGAGGTTGAAGCTTGGCAAGGTCAGATGCAGGCTTAGGTACGAAGGTCGACATGATATCCGAAGGTATTTGCTTTTAACTGTTGGGGAAGATCGGATAAAATATATCGTAGACCTGGGGCTACTGTTTTTTATAGGCTGAGTATAAATGAATCCTGAGCTTCAGTGTTAACTGGTTGAAAGCAACCGGTAAGACTATAACCGTCTTCGGGCAATATTTGCTTTTAAGGTAGTGTCTTGTACACGTCACCGTTTCTTTCAGGATTCATTTATACTCAGCCTATAAAAAATAGTAGCTCAGGTCTACGACATATTTTATCCGATTTTCCCCAACAGCAGCATCCACATTCTCCTACTAATGCCACATTTCTCTCTGTTTTTGGATCGTATAAATAGCTTTAGTTTTATTCATTTCAATGCATCAATTCAATTTGTTTGAATTCATTTTATCCATTCTTTTATATCTTTCACGTAGAAATATATATATATTTTGTTAATATTCTCTTTTAGAGATTAATATATATATATATATATATATATATATATATATATATATATATATATATATATATATATTCCCATTCTTATTAATTATTTTGTCATTTATATAATTTTCTTCATTTATATATTTTCCTTATTATTCAACTTCCTATAATTCTCAATTTTCGATTCTTCGCTTCCGCATTATTCTGCTATATTCCTAACAAGTGGTATCAGAGTGGTTTATTCAAAAATTATTTTCAAAGATGTTAACTGTTACAAAGTTCGATATCGAGAAGTTTGACGGGAAAATTAGCTTCTCTATCTGGAAGGTTCATATGGAAGCCGTTCTAACCCTTAACGGTTTGAGGAAAGCGCTAGCTGGGAAGAAGAAGAAACCGGCTACAATGACAGATGAAACTTGGGAAGATTTGGATGACAAGGCATGTTCAACAATTTTTTTGTGCCTGTCTAAAGAGGTTCTACGTGAGGTAGTAAGTGAGACGACTGCGTCAGATTTATGGTCTAAGCTGGATACGCTTTATATGGCTAAAACTCTGGCGAACACGCTGTGCTTGAAGGAGCGTCTATACACAATTCGTATGACGGAATGTACTTCTATTAAATCTCACTTGGATGAATTCAATTCTATTTTATTAGACTTGGAAAATATTGATGTCATAATTGAAGATGAGGATCGCGTTGTTTTATTGATTGTCTCTCTCCCTAAATCGTACAAGCATTTCAAAGAAATTATGTTGTATGCTAATAGTAGTCAAACCTATTGTCCAAAGAAAAGTTTGACTTTGAAATTAAGTCTGAGGACAAAGGTGAAGGCTTGACTGTAAGGGGTCGTTCACTTGAGTCAGGGAGTAGCAATAAAAATTCTAAATCCAAGTCTAAATGACGTAAGTCCAACAAATCCTGCAAGTACTGCAAGAAGCATGGTCATGATGTGACTGAATGCTTTAAGTTGAAAAACAAGCAAGAGAGAGAAAAATCCGCTGAAGCTAGTGTTGTTGAAAGTGATTCAGATGGCAATGTTATGTTATCTGTTAGCTCCGGTTGCAAACGGAGCGAAACCGAGTTGATTCTGGACTCTGGTTGTACATTCCACATGTGTCCTCACAGAGACTGGTTCATGTCTCTGGAACCGGTTGATAGTGATGTTGTCTTGCTGGGTAATGATACTCAATGCAAGGTTAGTGGAATTGGAAGTGTGCAGATTAAAACTCATGATAATGTTATCAGGACTCTTACCAATGTTCAGTATATTCCTGATTTGAAACGCAATCTGATATCATTGGGCACCTAAGAATCTCTAGGGTGCAAGTACATAGCTGAAGGTGGAGTTATGAAGGTCATAAAAGGCTCTCTTGTTCTCTTGAAAGCTTCTCGTTCTGGATGCTTGTACGTCTTGCATGCAGTACTGTGACAGGTTCAGTAGCGGTATCCTCATCGATGTCTGATGCGGATCTCACTCAATTAATTTACTAATTAATTTACCATAATGGATACTGTTTTTAATAGTATATATGTATTAAGCAGGTTGTAGTACGATGACACCTCAATTCCAATGGGGGCATTGACAAAGTATGAATGAACAGATACTACATTATATTGTAATAGAGTAAGTAGTACTAAAAAAACATTTATATTCACGTAATTATTTCATTATTAATTTCATAATAATTATAATTATAATTCCGTAGATCGGTTATTGCAAATCAAGATTGGAATGGCGATCATTTATTAAAGGACTTTGTTGTGGGATGCATAGACAAGTATTTATAATACTAGTAATTGTATACACGCACAACTGTCTGCATAAATTAAATGTTTACGAATTATTAGATATAGAATAGAGAACTGGCAGCATTTACGTAAATACATTTAAATCACGTACGTACAAATTGTATGCATATAAAACTGCCTAAATACACTTCAGGAAAATATATGAAATGACGTTGTATATAGATGTGAAAGAGATATTAGACCCAAGAATGAGAACCCTGGAGTCCAAGAAGGAAACGCAGACCAAGAAGGTGACCCGAGCCCAAAGAAGGCGACCCAGAGAAGGCAAGGCAATCCGGACCAAGACAATTCTGACCGATGTATGCAACCTGGGGCCGGCCCAAGGTACCCAACTAGGCTTTGACCCGTTCTCGCGACCTATATACCTTGATTTTATCTAAGTTTAATTTGTTAAACTTTCCTGGTATAAATAGCTTATGTCTTAAATAATTATACAAATCATGTTATATTCTTACAACACTCTTGTAGCGTTTTCCACTCAATATTATTACTACAATTATCTCTTGATCTTTGTCTATTTTACCACTGTAATTTATACAAATTTATTGAGGCATGTTGTAACTATTAGCTCCAGCATAATTAATCAAAGGAATTGCAAAGAGAAAGAAAATAGGAGATAAAGCAAGACTATAATTCTTTATCCAACTTCTTCATCCAATACAAGGGGTACGTACATCTGCATATGTATAGTGAAAGGTTACAAATCTACATAATGAGTTATAAATGCGTCCGTTAGAGACATTACAAATATTGTCCACCAAATACAATTTATAATAGATAATATATATATATATATATATATATATATATATATATATATATATATATATATATATATATATATATATATGAATCTCCCGATATGCATTTATGGAAATTAGAATGGAAATCTCCCTAAATGCAATTAATGTGATTATAATGGAATTACATTGTCAATTTGTGATGATTTTATGAAACCAGGTTCCATCATGAACCGGGTAGGAACCGTAGGATATACAAAATCGTGATAGGAATAATAATAATAATAATATATAATAATAATAATAATATTATATAATAATAATAATAATAATAATAATAATAATAATAATAATAATAATAATAATATTAATTGGAGCCTTAATTAAGTTCAATAGATTATATACAACTCATGATTACAATTCAAGAAATTGATAAATAATAAATAAAGGAGCTTGAATAATGGCAAATTAAATGGTGGACCATGAATAAATTTATATCTCTAATATATTGAATGTACATTATTTGTGTACTACATGTTTATTATTTGATAGTATATACTATGCATTTTCCTCCACTACCACGCCCCTTCATTTTTTTTTTTACCTCCACCATCCTCACCAGCCTCTTGTCGCACCACTTTGTCCAGCCCCAGTAGCGGGAGGTGCCACCGACACAACGGAGAGCGCTCGATGCCCATTAGCCACACTATAGCTCGAGGAGTTCAAGAGACCTTTTTTGTCGGCGGATAGGGACCATTGGTCTAAACACTGCCCCTACACCATGGCCCCTAAGCGATAAGTCAGTAAACCCATGACCCAACTTAACCATCTATGCTCAACATTCCTTCACCCCCCCCCCCCTCCCCCTCACATCGAAAGTCATAACCCCTTACACTATGTCTGTGTGGGTAAACATTAAAATGCAATGAAATTTAACTTAAAAACATTTCTATCTTACCTGTGTTGCATTCAAACAAATCTATAGTTCACCAAACATGGCTAGTAAAATTTACTTCATCAACGCTCATGCACAAATGATACAATACAAAAAAATACTATTTTATACTTAATAAAACACAATTATAAAGTCGTTAATGAACTCTAAATCAACACATCAAAAAGCAAAATTTTCTTCCCCCAACATGACATGAACAATTCATTTACAGATCAATCATGGCTGGTGAAACAAGGGTATCCACTTAACTAGTAACCATATAACCAAGAGCATAGGGGATATTAAAATTCTTACCCCTTCTAGCATTAGGTCTATGGAGCTTCAATTGATGCCCAACCATCATTAGAATATCACCGTTTTCCGAAACATGTACAATTGCGAGTTTAGCATTACACATAGCCAGTGTTCTCTGAACCCCGGGGAAGTGGATGATGAATTGGTAAGTTTGAAATGCAAACTAGTTTAGTCCACGATTCTTCAATTCCAAACTCATTCATAATCCAAACTTCCATTTGATGTTTGTGATGAAAACCTGCAAAAAGCAATCCTGTACAAATGGCAGCTCCATGTTCATGGCTGGGTAACGCTATAGCTTTGGCTGTTTCGGTGGTTAAATTAAAAGAAGAGAAAAGGGTCAAATAAGCCCCTGAACATTACTCAAAAAGTCAATTAGGCCCTTCAACTTTCAAAAGTTGCAATTAAACCCACGAACATGTCATTTTGGAGCAATGAGACCCACAAACCTATTGGTGACCTGATATTACAGGTCACTTAGGATTCCAGCCCACTCCGACGAACCTCAGATGATCGTACGATAAATTTCCGACAACAGTGTCAAATACGAACGACCGTGAAAAGGGACCCACAAAACTTTATGATTCTCTCATCTTCGAAATTGCATAATGAACCTATCTATCGTATGGAGAAAGTTCTAAACAACTGCCAAGAAACTCACCTGATAAATCCTCCGGCACGACGACACAACTCTTCCTTCTCCGTAAAACTCTGTTCATCCCATCTGGCAAAAATGTTAACAAATACAAATTCTCAAAAAATCAAAGATTCACCAAAAAAAAAAAATAATAATAATAATAATAACACTCTGTATATTTAATCCCCCCAAAAATGCTGAGAGATTTATGAGATTTATTTGATATTTACCGTTTATGGTGTAATCCGAATGGAACTCATCGGTGCCGCTTTGTATATTCAACTATTTCTTCACCACTGCTTTGATCCAAGAAGAAGACTGCAATAATGGCAAGAACTCATCTTTATACAACTATTTGTATACACTACAGATGCAAAACTAACCATCAAAGAAATAGAAGAACCCACCTTGGAAATCTAGCTTGCGTTTTTGTTTCATGGTGGCCAATGAAGCTGGAAAAACATACGTGCAAATAATTTCCAAGAAAGCAGGGGATCCCAAAAAGAAGAACAAATGGAATAATGATCCGAGGAGAAATAAAAACATAAAAATTCCCCTTCGTCGGAGCAGGCGACCGTGGTCCAAACGAGACCGGCAAACATTTTCACGGTCGTCGGTATTTGACACCGTTGCCGGAAATTTATCGTACGATCATCGGAGGTTCGCCGAAATCCCAGGTGACCTGTAATATCACGTCACCAATAGGTTTGTGGGTCTTATTGCTTCAAAATGACATGTTAGTGGGTATAATTGTAACTTTTGAAAGTTGGAGGGCCTAATTGACTTATTGGGTAATGTTTAGGGGCTTATTTGACCCTTTTCCCTTAAAAGAAATTATATTCCAATTCCAGTCACTATCATTTAAGTTGTTGTTGCACCAGTTGAGACTACCACTCGCAAACACAGCAATTCTGGGATAAACAAACCCACTACTAAACCCTCTATCACTTCTTTTCCATGACCCATGCATGCTTAAAACTATACACCAAAATCACATTTTCATCACCATTATTCTCCGCATAATAAGCATAAACAACCATGTAGTCCTCATTATACATATCGTATCCAAATCCAAATATGCTAATAATGTAGCCCGACCGCCAAACATCTGGGATTGTCTTGATGTTTCCATTCAATGAAGGGTTCCAAATCATTATTTGATATGGTTTAGCACGAAAGCAAAATAGACCATTGCAAGAACCCAAGAATTCGAATCCACCTTCAGGGATTAAGACCGAGCGGTCAAATGTAATAAACTTGCAAAATGATGATTGCTTGTTTTCTGTAATAGAAAACAAGGACATATAGCTAATCCGATTTACACTGCTATATGTCATGACCTTAATATCCTTTTTTGAATGAAAATTTAGGTGCAATTTGACAAGTTCTAGAGATGATATTAAAGCACGCCAAACTTTTGAAACACACCTAAATTGCAGCAGAGATTTCACAGGCAGCCTTTTGAGGATTTCTGTGATTATATCTTGATTCAGATTTTGTTATGGCATCTGACGCTTAGGAGTAGGGAATGACATCCTGATTGTGTGTCTTATATAAAAATTCCGTTTGTTATCTGAAAATAAAAAAAATATAATTATATATTTTAACCGAACTCCTTTTGTTATCTGGAAATAAAAAAAAAATTATTTTAACCGAAGTCTGATCTATTTCTCACTATCCACAAGAAATTTAAATGTCACTATGTACAAAAGGAATAAAAGCCATACAAATTACAAAAAGATTCCAATAAATATTGCTAGTGTTCCATCATTGATTAATTTCCGTATGTATATTATTAGAGAATTAATTTAACAATATATATATATATATATATATATATATATATATATATATATATATATATATATATATATATATATATTCACTTCACTTATATTTATAGCCTTTCCTTCACCCACCTACCTAACCATCAAGCACCACCAACCTCCCCTACGATCACTATTTCCTATATTCCTTTTTATTTAACCCATCCCCTATTTATGCACCATAACCTATTTATTTATTCCTACTATCACCTACCTATTTAATCCATCCCCAACTATCAATGCTCCACGGATGTCTACTTACCCATTACAACATATGCATCTACTGCATTCATATTTCTTTTCCTTGTTTTACTATTATTTCTAACTTAATCCCATCTACCTAACCACAAGGCCTTCAATAACAACTTACATAGTTACAATATTACTTGATACTTTTATCAATTGTCACTACATTTTTATTTCTTTATGAAGAAAAAAAAACAGTGCAAATTAGTTTCATATTTAACAAATTAATAAATAAATAGATTTTAACACATTTAATAGCTTTCCAATGAAAATGAAAACTTGAAAATTTTTTAGATGTATAGTGTGTGTGCGTGTGTGTGTGCGTGTGTGTGCGTGTGTGTGTGCGTGTGTGTGCGTGTGTGTGTATATATATATATATATATATATATATATATATATATATATATATATATATATATAGAGAGAGAGAGAGAGAGAGAGAGAAATGAAGAGAGAGATAGTGATAGAGAGAGAATTGTATCAAAATAGCTCAAAAGCTATTTGATGTTTGGTAGTTTTTTTTTTTAATCTCTTTATCACTTTTAATGGAAGAAAAGTTTGTAAATGCGGATGTATTAAGTAACAAAAATTTAGAAAAAATAGAAACTTGATATGCATTTTTTACACTCATATTTTAGGTACATCTTTATAATAATTTTGCATTGGTTAATTAATATTATCTAATAATTAGTTCTTTTTATATATAATATATAATATATATAATACATATTAATATTATATATATATATATATATATATATATATATATATTAAGTATTATTTTTAGTTGTTTGGTCCATTCTCAATTTCATAGCATTAAAACATTCATAGCAAGAAATTAAAACAAAGAAAATGATTAACGTTTTTTTTTTGTGTTTTTCTTACCTCAGAACGTGCGGCACATGCAGGCGTTTTTTCGGATGATTTCATGGATCAGTGCTGAAAAATAGGAAAAATGGATGGTTGAGGTTCATTGAGCCTATTTTTAGAATGCTATAAGTAGTAGGAATTTCCTATTGTAAAATCGTTCATTCTTCCCCTCTCGATTATTATGTAAAGCTGTTATCAATGTTCATTCATTGCTAATTTCTTTAGCTTGGTTTAGTGAATTGAAGCCCCGGAATTGATTATGCTGTAAGATTATTTATTTATTTTATTATATAATTTTTATGCATTTGGGTATTAAATATTCTTCTAACCTATTTGATATAATTCTTCGTTATATTAGATAATGTTGTGCTACAAATTATTCTAATATTCAGTAGCAACTGAGGTTAATTATTGACGGCTTAGTGATAATTGATTTCAGGAAGAATATTTTCCTAAATTAAATGCAACCGCTTGTGCTTGTGTTATTTAGTTTGTCGGTTTTCCTAGTTCATATTGCTGCTATTAAATTAAATCTATAGCGCTTGTCTTAGGTTATTTAGTAGTTAGGGGTAATTAAACCGCGTGTGCTTTAGTTACCTATAACTAAGGGAAAACGGAAATGAAATAATTTCACGACAAATATTCAATTGCATATTAATTACTTTACTAATCAATGATCAGTGTTAACTTCCGGTGGTGGATCTTTACTAACCAAGGTTTTCTATTATAAGTGCTTTCAATATATTAGTTTCATTACTTTATTCGATTTATTTAATCTCTTATTTATTTAAATTATCTTTTACTTAATCTTTATTCTCGTTATTTTCCAAACCCCCCATTAGTTCCTTGAGCACAAAAGTTAAACTAGTTACTCCTCGTGGGATCGATCCTTACTCCCGCTACTACATTTGTAAGGTTTTAATTTGGGAGCCTACGACAGCTCACCAAATTTTGGCGCCATTGCCGGGGAGATTTTCTAGCTTATTTTGTGTTTGTTTATTTATTTGTTTATTTATTTTTCTCGTTAATTTGTCCCAAAAAAAAATTAAAAAAATCTTTTCTTTCATTACTTTTACATAATTGCTGCTATATATTTTCTCTTTTTTTATGCTTATAACCCGATCTGCTAATCAAAAAATCTTGCCGTACTATCCGGAAATTGAAAGAACTATACGTAGGTGGAAGAAACAAGCTTTGCGAAAATTTGAGTTTAGTGATCTCGCTACCGATTTCGCCAATTCTGATTTTGAAGAGGAACCCCCCATGGCTCAAAATCGGACTTTAAAAGAGCTTGGAGCTCCAAATTTAGATCAACAACCTTTATGCATCACTTTCCCTGCTCTGGATGCTAATGTACAATTCGAACTGAAATCTGGGTTAATTCATCTTTTGCCTTCTTTTCATGGACTTGCGGGTGAAGATCCTCAAAAGCACTTAAAGGAATTCCATGTGGTGTGTTCAAGTATGAAACCCACAGGGGTTACTGAAGAACAACTCAAGTTGAGAGCTTTTCCCTTTTCGTTGAAGGATTCAGCGAAGGATTGGCTATTTTATCTACCTTCCAGGAGCATCACCACATGGAATAACTTGAAAACAGCGTTCCTTGAAAAATATTTCCCAACTTCAAGGGCGGCCAACATTAGAAAGGAAATCTGTGGTATAAGGCAAAACAATGGAGAGTCATTGTATGAATATTGGGAGCGTTTCAAAAAGCTTTGTGCAAGTTGCCCACACCATCAAATTAGTGAGCAATTACTCATTCAATACTTTTATGAAGGACTTTTTCCAATGGATAGAAGCATGATTGATGCCGCAAGCGGTGGTGCCTTAGTTGACAAGACACTGGACGCTGCAAGAACTCTAATTGCGAACATGGCTGCAAATTCTCAACAGTTTGGCAATAGATTTGTCCAACCGTCTAAGCAAGTGAATGAGGTAAATATTTCTGATCTTGAACAACAAATTTCTAGTTTAACTACTCTTGTTCGTCAATTAGCTGTATGCAATATGTAAACTGTAAAAGCATGTGAAATTTGCTCAGTAATTGGGCACCAAACTGATGCCTGCCCAACGTACCAGAATTCATTTATACTCAGCCTATAAAAAACAGTAGCCGCAGGTCTACGACATATTTTATCCGATTTTCCCCAACAACAGCATCCACATTCTCCTACTAATGCCACATTTCTCTCTGTTTTTCGATTGTATAAATAGCTTTAGTTTTATTGTTTTCAATGCATCAATTCAATTTGTTTGAATTCATTTTATCCATTCTTTACTTTCTTTCACGTAGAAATATATATATATATATATATATATATATATATATATATATATATATATATATATATATATATATATATATTTCCCATTCTTATTAATTATTTTATCATTTATATAATTTTCTTCATTTATATATTTTCCCTATTATTTAACTTCCTATAATTCTCAATTTTCGATTCTTCGCTTCCGCATTATTCTGCTATATTCCTAACAAGTGGTATCAGAGTGGTTTATTCGAAAATTATTTTCAAAGATGTCAACTGTTACAAAGTTCGATATCGAGAAGTTTGACGGGAAAATTAGCTTCTCTATCTGGAAGGTTCATATGGAAGCCGTTCTAACCCATAACGGTTTGAGGAAAGCGCTAGCTGGGAAGAAGAAGAAACCGGCTACAATGACAGATGAAACTTGGGAAGATTTGGATGACAAGGCATGTTCAACAATTTTTTTGTGCCTGTCTAAAGAGGTTCTACGTGAGGTAGTAAGTGAGACGACTGCGTCAGATTTATGGTCTAAGCTGGATACGCTTTATATGGCTAAAACTCTGGCGAACACGCTGTGCTTGAAGGAGCGTCTATACACAATTCGTATGACGGAAAGTACTTCTATTAAATCTCACTTGGATGAATTCAATTCTATTTTATTAGACTTGGAAAATATTGATGTCATAATTGAAGATGAGGATCGCGTTGTTTTATTGATTGTCTCTCTCCCTAAATCGTACAAGCATTTCAAAGAAATTATGTTGTATGCTAATAGTAGTCAAACCTATTGCCCAAAGAAAAGTTTGACTTTGAAATTAAGTCTGAGGACAAAGGTGAAGGCTTGACTGTAAGGGGTCGTTCACTTGAATCAGGGAGTAGCAATAAAAATTCTAAATCCAAGTCTAAATGACGTAAGTCCAACAAATCCTGCAAGTACTGCAAGAAGCATGGTCATGATGTGACTGAATGCTTTAAGTTGAAAAACAAGCAAGAGAGAGAAAAATCCGCTGAAGCTAGTGTTGTTGAAAGTGATTCAGATGGCAATGTTATGTTATCTGTTAGCTCCGGTTGCAAACGGAGCGAAACCGAGTTGATTCTGGACTCTGGTTGTACATTCCACATGTGTCC